GATATTAACTTTTTGCTGAAATCTGATATGATGGTTTGTCCACTTAATTTCTGGTTTTCAATATCAACCGATACCAATATATGCAGCCGTTTGCCCCCAAAACTGAGGTAAACGTTTCTGGACCCTACATGCAATTCCATCATAAATGGCAAAACCAAGACATTGCGTTATCAGGTTTTTATCATTGGAAAAACTGATAATGATTCCTACAGATATTACGTAATTATGCTAGTATTGGAACAATAATTCTATGTATAGTTTTGCTAGATTTCACCCAAATTGCCTTCAAAAAAGATATGGGTTAAATATAGAGCCTGTAGTCCCCTGTAGTAAATGTAGTAATACTCCTTTTTCTAGAGTAATTTAACCTCAAAATTACAAGAAAAGCTGAAATGTTTTGTAAAACTGCAACACATGATAGAGATTTGCTTGATACATGAGTCCTGCAGAGCATTAACAGTCTGATATTCCAACGCCAACGGAACCAACTGACAATGTTCCTTGAACCGAAACAGCTCAAGGGTAAAATAACCTCAAAAGTGTATCTTTATGAAAACAAAGAGAGTGTTGTCATCCTGTTCCTGGTTATTTCAGGGGCTTTGCTTCTGACATTTATAGTGTCTTACTTCACAGCACAGGCTTGAGATGAGCTCACTCTATTTACTCTCCCAGCATTTATTTGAATGTCAACCTCCTTCAAAACATGAGACCAGGGAAAGCTGCTGATGGTGGAGAGCGTGTCAAAAACCTCAGAGCATTTACAGGGATAAACGAAATCATTGTGTTGGCAGACTTCACGGTCAAAATATGTAAACATCTCCTCTTAAATACTAACCACTACCAAAAACGATAGCCAACATCTTACATGGAGAATAAGTGAACCTGTAGCACATATAAAATGCTAGCCTACAAAGTACTTAATGGTTCTGCTCCTGCCGACTCAAGTGCTTTGATAAAGGCTTAAGACAATCCAGGTCATTAGCCCTTTTTAACAAGCATTAGCTAAGATTTTGGGGGCTTTGCTCACACTACTAGTATCGCTGAATATTATGTTACATCTTTTATAAAAAAAAATATTTGTTGTATTTTAGCTGCTGTAATTAGAAACACGTTCCATTGACGTTTTTCAAAACATGTTAATCAGTGGGAGATTAGACAAAGACGTTTCACCTTTCATTCAAGAGGTTTTTCAACAGCCACATGAATGAAAGTCAGATTGTTGTATTTATCACTCATTCATACTTAATTTGCTAACAGCTAATGTGTTGATTTTAAATGGCTCAATACTACAATAGTAACCTAAACTAGAAGCATTTCAGGCTTGTATCCTGGGACCATCACAGTAGTTCAAATAAATGTCTAGCTTAGCCTTAACTCTTATTAAACTAAATTATACAACTATAATTATAAATGTCACAAACTGAGCGCAAAAAAAAAAAAAGCCAATTAAACATTGGCATCCTTTACTGATGAAAGTTCATCACTGTACTGTGGCTAAATTTAAAGTGAGTCTTTGACCCTACTCCGAACCTCGTCCTTTTCCCAGAAGATCATCCATCACTACACAAGTTCAAGCACTTCTGCTCAACAAGGCCAAGCTCAGGTTTCTCCTGTCAGGGTGTTTCTCTTTTTCAGGCCAGCAGGATGACATCGTCTGGATATTTGTTCCAAAGCAGGATAAATACAATGGTGAAATGTTTATTGAAGGATGTGACATTGCTTATTGCTTAATCTGATGTGTTTATATTTTGGCTGATTCCCAGCAGTATGATGGATTCGTTGAAATGATGATGAATAGTTTATGTTTCTTTCAAGAATGGGGTAAACCGTGGACGGCATGATGTTTTAAATTAAGGATTTGGGGTTTAGAGAAAGATTTGTGGAATATTGTGTACATGTGTTGCAAAATCTGCTCCTAAGTCTCTGTAACATACAAATATAGCTTCCTAATACAACTGGTCTGCTGTGTTGGATGTTTCCCTCAATGGAATGTTTGTTAACATGAATAGATTTTGAGAGATTATGCCACTGGGGCCACAACAAGCCAAATAGTATGTCTGGATACAACAGAAAAATATTTACCTGGTAAATCTGACCTAAAACATCTAATCCCTAAATACCTGAATATTCAAATTAAGGTCTTTACTGCAATGAATTCTTCAGAACAACCACATTTGTGGAGTACTTCAGTCATCAGCTTTGAGTCCCTTGAGTTTTCGGTAGTGAGGGATAAGGTTTGCATGGATAATGATGCATGAAGATTACATCATCGTGGTAAAAGCTGAAAACAGGTAGGAGGGCGTTTGGTGATATGGATAAATGAATAAGCAACTATGGTGGATGCTGTAGAAGTAATGTCACTTTCTAAAAACTATGACAAAACTCTAAGTGTACTAACTCAGGAAGCAAAATGAAAACCTTTAAATTGTATTTCTTTTACGCTCATTTTGATCATTATAGGCCAATCAAAAAAAAAATGTAGTAGTTTTACGCCTCTACAGTAGATGACTGGTTTCATTTTCATTGTGGACACTTTGAGTCTCTCCATTCACTTGCTGTTTGGAATCTGTGCTGATGTTTGGTCTCCTTGTTACAGTGCATTTTAAACAACACAAAACAGAGGCCCATTTCTTCCTGTGCCTTCAATCGTCTATTTATGGCTTTTCACGACAAAACTGTGGATTTAATTAGCTCGAGTTACATTTTCTGTTGAGGCTGTAAATCCTCACTGATGTCATCTGTTTGACAGTGTCAACATCGTCAGGAAATCAGATTTTAAACAGTCTTGTTATTTTCATTAGGTTTCTTCACACAACGCAACTTTCCAGCAGCTTTTCTGAACTGTAACATGGCTTCACCACCCTTCAAGCTGCATTCCCCTTTGTCTGTAAATACTGATAAGTCTTAACAGTCCCCCAACTTTTGTGTAGTCCAAAGGGGGATGTGGGGGCAGCCAGTGTTTGCTTGAGCTGAAGTTGAAGTCATGCTGCCAAAAGTTTCCTAATGTTTTATACACCCTGAGCTTAGAGACACTCTCACTTATTGGAAATTTTGATGAAAGATTCAAAACAAAAGCAGTTTTGATAGGAAACACATCACTGGAGAAACATGAGGGTATTTTTCAAATCTAGGGCTTCCCCCTCTCCCAGTGTCTAGTTTTGCGACAAGTTACTGATGTAATCCCTCTCTGTGCATAATTGCACGGCTCCTTGTAACACTGTGGAGCATTATTTTGTGCCAAGGACATGTGCAGTGGAGAAAGAACATTGTCCAGGCACTGCATTGTTGTAAGACTTGTGGATAACAACAGGTGGAGGTTTGGGCCCCAGAAGACCATGTGCTATTTCCACTGTGGAAAGGAAAGATGGTAAAAACAGGGAAGATGGAAATATAATTGAATTAGCGGGTTTGCTTTTAAATCTAAAAGGTAAATAGTGATGTAATCTGAAAAAGCAAATTCAAACTAACCTGGGTATGTCCTGTAATTTATCATCCCAGCCGGTGGTGGTAATATTTATTGTTTTTTTACATTTGTGTAGGAGCCAAATGTCAGTCACACTTCTGGCTGTGTTTTCTCAGGCAGGCCTGTTTCATACGTGTTAATTGTTAGCATGCCTGGAACTTGGCTTCTTTAGGACGACACGTGACTGGTGAGGAGAGGGGACATTTTCCTTGCTGTGTTTGCTGTGCCTTTGTTTTACTCTTAAAAAATATGTTTATGGAACATTTTGGACCATTCTAGTGGTGTTTAATCAAACATCCTTTTGACTTGAGTTTCGGAATGGATTATGTTTGTGCTATTGTGACTATGTTTTTGATAAATATTTAGTTATTTCTTGGCTAGTAGTGTGTTATCTTTTAAATAATTGCACAATTCGGTTTACTTTATGCCATACAAATGTTATGGCTTAACTTAATTGTGTTTCACTAACATTTACTGCTATAATTTTGCAAATTCTTAGGTGTATTTCACCTATCAATCAAATAAGTTGCAACTGTTTATTTTTACTCTTATACAGTGATATTACAAGATTACAGATTTTCTGAGCTCAGACTAATAACTAATAATACGAATATATTTAGGAACAAACAATACAGGCCTTGTAACTATGTAATGGTCAAAGCCGTTAAGAGGGAATGTCTTCCCCAGACCAGGCTCTTCAACCACTTTTGTGGTAGTTCTAAAAAGGATTGAACACAAAATGTATAGCTTTCTTACTTAAGTTCCTTTCTTTCTTTCTTTTTTTTAACATTCTCTTCTGATATCATTCCCCTGAGACTGCTGATTAGGACAAAGTTCTCTGCAGGTCACATCTGGCAGAAAATCGGCAGTTTCCTTTCAGCGTGATGTCAGAGGGGGTGTTTAAGGGTGTGTGTAAATAAGAGAAAAAGAAAGACTTGTTTTTGTAGTTTTACCTTAACTTAATACAAGCTCAACATTGCCTCACTAACCTCAAGCTTTACCTCAGGAAGTGTTCACAGTTTTCTGTTTACAAAAAGCTTATATCTGTGTTCAAATACATTACTGATCAGCGTTTTCAATTGAACACATTAAATATAGAGTGGTTTCTCTTTTAGTTTCCAAATTAAGATCCCAAATGTCGAGACAATGATGTGACAAAACCTCCAATGTGTATTGTGGTAACAGGCACCAGGACTTTTGAATCAGAATAAATTACTGTAAGTCTTGAGGTGGGGCTGCCATGGATCAGTTTTGTTTTTACAGCACAACCCACAGACATGTGCTCTGGTTTACTTCTAGGGAAGTCAATACCCAAGTGAAAACCTTCAACTATTTGTTATGTTCCTCAAACCATTCTTGAGGATTTTCTGTGGCTAAAATACAGCACCACTGACTCTATGCTTGGTTTATTGTTATTGACTTGAACATAGGCTGTTGGCAATGCTGTCTTCTCACAGCGTTTTCCTCACATTGACTTTCTCTTTGCCTCCAACAGTAAAAAAATATTCAGACAAACCCATGTCTAATTTCTGTCTAGTGCGACGCCAGAACATGAAAGTTCGCATCAATGCCACAGAAGACACCGTCATTATGAAGTTTGTACGCCCCAACCCAGACACCAAACTTGAAGGCTACATACTGGGATATGGCAGCAGCATGTTCTCTAAACAGTTCATTCAGCTGCCTGAGAACGGGAAGCCCTACGAGACCGAGTTTGGTAAGAAATACTGCAGATCTGTGATGTTTTAGACAGAACTGGTTTTAACAAATTTGGTTAAATATTTGGTGTACAGTATTCACTTTTGCAACTTCTCGTGTTTAATAATTTTATGCAATTTATTATGTCTCGACCTATTTGTTTTAACCTAGATTATGCCTAATTTAACTACATTTTCAAGATGCATTGGACATTGGTGAAATGAGAAATTTAGGATTTTAAACATTTTAAGGAACACTTTTTTCTGTCTCTTAACCTATGGACTCACAAAAGTTGAGGTTTCAAAATTTGCCTTAATAACTTTCTAACTCTTAACTCTCCAATGTATTTTTTAGATGCTGAGCCCAAGTACCTTATAGCTGTTCAGCCTATTCCTGTCAATGAGGTGAAAAAGCAGTGTACAGGTAACGATTGTAGTACTGTACGTTCTAGAATAACTGTAGTATATGGTGGACATATTTAAGTGAATGTGATTTTTTTTGTTTGTTTATTTTAAGGTAAAGTGGAACTGCAAAAACCATTGCACTTAGTGATCGGGTCTATAACCCCTACTTCAGTGCTCCTGTCGTGGGGGACTCTGCTAAAAACCCCTTATGACAGTAATGTCATGGATGACTGTCTTGAGGATGGGTGAGATCATATGCCAAGATTTTTTTGTTTTACTGAAAATAAGCATAACAACGTATAAGCTGAAATTGATAGAAAAGCTCTAAAACTTGCAGGCTTGAAGGTGCAGACGTGATTTAAAGGCTAAAAGGAAGGCGCTGTGATTCATTTTTCCTTAAGGCAAAACACTGAATGACTTTAACGATAGTAAATGTATTCCATTCACGTTTAAATGTCAGGACCGTTTTGGTGAAGGACTTGGCAGCTGTTGCTATTTTGTGTTGTGTTGCATACTATTGGCATTCACCTCAAAACCAAATGTTGATTCTTTTACATCTACTGACTCATACTATGGAGCAGTCAACATATTGGGTCTGTTACAATACAACACAAACATGACCATTATCTTAGTGTTGTGTTTCTCCTGGTTGTTATGTGTGTGTCAGCATGACATTAGAAAACACAAATTTTTGTGTTTATCTGACTAATTATCTTTCTGTTGTAAAACAACAAAATAGTATCTAAGATATTTCATCAATACTCCTTGTCATCCTTTGTCTTAGACACTACACAGTTCGTTATCGTGAGAAAAATAGAAAGTGGAACTACCAGACCTGCCCAACAAGTGACACGGTCATTGACAATTTGAAGCCCAACACATTCTATGAGTTTGCTGTGCAGCCCAACAGTAGGGACTCCAGTGGGTCCTGGAGTAGTCCAGTCCTTCACAACATCAACAGGCCTGGTGTAAATGGTATGCACTAATGTCACCCACACTGCCTCTGAGCCCTTCCAAAATATATATACATATATATATATATATATATATATATATATATATATATATATATTGTGTAAAGAATTCCAACAAGGACAACAAGACCATGCTTTGGCTGATCGGTGAATAAAATACAGTTTATGGTATATGTCAGTATATCCAAAAAATCAATTATGTTGTTAATTTTCTTATTTTTCTTTTCTAAGAATGTGTCATGACAAATCATAATGACTGTGTTATCCCATCAAGTGCAAGTTGAAATTGGATCCTTAATGGTATATATTAAAACTACCCAATACTTGAGTTTTATTAAGCCACCACTAAGGATCTCTCTCTCTTTAAAATGACCAAGATTAAACTCATTTTGAGTAGAGTCTTTGTAAAAATGTGGTTTTGTTTATCGCCTCTCACTTTCCTTGATACAGTTTTAACTGACTCTTCTCTCGGGTTTGCAGAGAAGAACACCAATAGGATCAAACCTGACAAAACTGGGGTAAGTGAAAACAATGTTTCACAAAAATACACAACTGATGCATCTGAAACAGCACTATCTGTTTAAAATCAAAATGTAGGTTTAACGATATGCAGATACAGGTTGGTGAATGTGTTAATAGAAATAAGTATAATAAACAAGTCAGCAGTGACAGAACGCAGGAAGGAATATCTTTCGTAACAGGTGTGTAATTTGGACAGACAGGATATTTTGGAGTCTATGTTGAGCACTTGAGTGAGCTTATGTTCTTCTTAGTTTTGTTTGCCTCATTAATTTTCCATCCAACAGCTCCATGGAAACATTAAAGTGCAGCCAGGGCTGTACAAGCCAAGAAGAACAGTCTGCAGTTAGCTAACTTCAGAATTGAAATGAGTTAGGTACAAAAAGACAGAAAAACGCTGAGAGGGTACAGGTGGAAAGATAACAGTATAAAAATGACTTGAAAGGGAAAAGGTGGCATCGGTTTTCAGACAGTGCAAGGCTGCAATGTCATGTGCATATGTTCCAAACCCATAAAAGACTACAGCTGCTAAGAATCAACTTACTTTTCTACAGGAAAAGTCTGAATAACAAACGTCTCACTAGAGTAGAGGGCTTAAGAAGGAGGGAGCAATATCATAAAGACATAAAAAGAAATGACATTGAGGATAAATACTGACACTCTAACATGCTGTGAGGATTACGAATACTAATGCAGTTTGTTGACCCTCTTTGTCCTGCTTACTCCTGTCATCATTCATTCCTCTTTCTTCTCTGGTATGGTAAAATAAGCATTTAACCCAGCAGCCTCAAAATCCTTGGCTCAAGGGCTATAGTGCCCCACACACTCCCCACATCTGGCCCGGGACTGAATAATCAATAATTCAAGTAATCATTTTGTAAAAAAAAACAAAACAAAACAAAGTTTTCAATTCAGTTTTTTTTTACATGCATAGGCACAATATACAATACATATACTGTATATGTATATATATATATATAAGTATATATATATATATATATA